ATTCAAAAACTATAAAACCATTTTCGACCCTAATTCGATTCTAATTAATTCGATATCACCGATTTACCGATCGAATTACCTAATTACCGAATTCGAATTACCAAATTCAAATCGAATTTGGTCGGTAATTCGGTAATTACCGTAATTGCTCACCCCTAACGCCTTGTACTAAAACTACAAAAGTAAAAATTGTTGGGGCTATGATACTAATGATGATAGCTTTTGTCACTGGATTGTGCATTGTGCTGCAAATCTTGATATTATTGTTACTCTTATATCACCGTGAACTTTCTCTTGAGTAGCCCAAGAAACAGCACCTGTATATAGGGGTGAGCATCGAATTCGAAGTCGGTAATTCGGTAGGTTGAAATCGGTAATTTTCGGTAAGTGGTTCTGGAAATATTCGACCTAATTCGCATTCGAAATAGGAAATATCGAATTCGAATTCAATCCGAATTGAATTCGGTAAACGAAAATTTACCGATTTAATCGAATTCGTGAAAACTGCTTCTTAGGGCATCGAACCAGTTGGATGGATCTGTTAACTACTTTGGAGATTATGACTGTGATATCATGTGCAGCAAGAAGAAGAGGTGCAGACACTCCTATGATCTGAATTGCTCTGCTCTGCAATTTAACAGCAGCGGCAATGGATTTTGTAGCAACTCATGGGACAGACTGCAATGTTTTTCACTCTGGATTGGCGTACCCCTTTGGGTTGCAGGAGATTGCAGAGCAATTCAGAGACCATTCCCTGCTGGTCTTGAGGATTGTCCCAAACTGGAGGAGATCCAAATCAAGGTTGAAGGAGATTGCAGGGAATGGTCAAAACATGCACAGTACCCCTTTGGGTTGAGCACTCCGGTGTAGTATCCTCGCTTAACCAAGATGCATTTGGATTGTGGAGACACCATAGGTTATGCACAGACTGCACTGTCTGGGCAGATGGATTTGAGCCAATGGGAACGATTTTACCTGATGGGAACGAATACTAATTTAGGGCAAAAGTCTGAAATTGGAACATCTGGACATAAGGATATTATTTCCTATTTAACTTAATTCGGAATTTCGAAATTGAAAACGGTAATAATTTACCATTTTACCGAAATAAATTCGAATTCGGTAAATCCGAATTCAAAAACTATAAAACCATTTTCGACCCTAATTCGATTCTAATTAATTCGATATCACCGATTTACCGATCGAATTACCTAATTACCGAATTCGAATTACCAAATTCAAATCGAATTTGGTCGGTAATTCGGTAATTACCGTAATTGCTCACCCCTAACGCCTTGTACTAAAACTACAAAAGTAAAAATTGTTGGGGCTATGATACTAATGATGATAGCTTTTGTCACTGGATTGTGCATTGTGCTGCAAATCTTGATATTATTGTTACTCTTATATCACCGTGAACTTTCTCTTGAGTAGCCCAAGAAACAGCACCTGTATATAGGGGTGAGCATCGAATTCGAAGTCGGTAATTCGGTAGGTTGAAATCGGTAATTTTCGGTAAGTGGTTCTGGAAATATTCGACCTAATTCGCATTCGAAATAGGAAATATCGAATTCGAATTCAATCCGAATTGAATTCGGTAAACGAAAATTTACCGATTTAATCGAATTCGTGAAAACTGCTTCTTAGGGCATCGAACCAGTTGGATGGATCTGTTAACTACTTTGGAGATTATGACTGTGATATCATGTGCAGCAAGAAGAAGAGGTGCAGACACTCCTATGATCTGAATTGCTCTGCTCTGCAATTTAACAGCAGCGGCAATGGATTTTGTAGCAACTCATGGGACAGACTGCAATGTTTTTCACTCTGGATTGGCGTACCCCTTTGGGTTGCAGGAGATTGCAGAGCAATTCAGAGACCATTCCCTGCTGGTCTTGAGGATTGTCCCAAACTGGAGGAGATCCAAATCAAGGTTGAAGGAGATTGCAGGGAATGGTCAAAACATGCACAGTACCCCTTTGGGTTGAGCACTCCGGTGTAGTATCCTCGCTTAACCAAGATGCATTTGGATTGTGGAGACACCATAGGTTATGCACAGACTGCACTGTCTGAGCAGATGGATTTGAGCCAATGGGAACGATTTTACCTGATGGGAACGAATACTAATTTAGGGCAAAAGTCTGAAATTGGAACATCTGGACATAAGGATATTATTTCCTATTTAACTTAATTCGGAATTTCGAAATTGAAAACGGTAATAATTTACCATTTTACCGAAATAAATTCGAATTCGGTAAATCCGAATTCAAAAACTATAAAACCATTTTCGACCCTAATTCGATTCTAATTAATTCGATATCACCGATTTACCGATCGAATTACCTAATTACCGAATTCGAATTACCAAATTCAAATCGAATTTGGTCGGTAATTCGGTAATTACCGTAATTGCTCACCCCTACCTGTATAACTACATTTTGAAATACGGGAAGCTGGCTGTTTTTGGTATATAGGTCCATTTAAATTCTGGATTCAAGATTTGACCCAAGTAGATTTGTTGTGGTTAAAAAAAAAAAAAAAAAAGAGGATTCGTGGTGGTAGTAAATTTCACCTGAACTAGCACTTGTATTTTTTTTTTTTTTTGGTAAAAAAGCCTCCTAAACGGAGAAATAATCCACGTACTTGGAGGCTTTGAGCGTTTGAGCTATGAAATCCATTTGGGCACCATCTCAGTTCATCCTTTTATTCACCCTATTCGATTCTTTTTTTTTTTTCTGGAGAAATAATCTTGATTGATCAATTGGGCATTTATCTATTTTGAGTCAATCGTGTTCAGAAGGTGCTCTCATGCAACCTAAATAATTTTTTTTTTTTTGCATCTTGAGATAAAGAGAAAGAAATGCTACTGCAATAGTGTTGGTGCCACTGATGAAATCATCCATCAATACATACACTTATAGGTGAAAGTCAATTAATTTTTTATGGGAGTTCCAAAATTTGAATGTGAGTTTAAAAAATTGTCAAGTTGTCGATACCGATGTTACCTAAAATGTGTTGTGAATGAAATTGTCAAACTTCCATCAATGTGATCACAACCTTATTTGGTAATAAAAAGGCAATAACCTATGTATGCATGGAAAGACCAATGTTCCTCAAGTTCGTCCACAATGTGTTATTCGTAACTTAATTGTTGTTCATGATGGTATATAAGTTAAATAATAAATTCTCCCATCTCCTATCCGTTTTTTAAATTTTACACTTCTTCCTTGTTTCGGGGAGAGGGGAACTAATGAGATTGTCTCCAATTATTGATACTTCATGGCCTCTGGTGTTCATGATGGTGTATAAGTCAACTAATAAACTTCCCTATCTCCTCTCCGTTTTTAAAATTTACACTTCTTCCTTGTTCCCCCGGGTCATCCCCAATTATTGATACTTCATAGCCTTTGGGCACAAAGAGGCTACTCCACATTTGGAGCCCCCATGAGGCCTTACTCTTGCAAAATTTTCATTCAGTTTTTATGGACTAAAAATCTTAATTGGGTCTGAGTCCTAATTGTGTCTGCCCAACAGTGGCCCCATTGTCCTTCTGCTGTGAATGCCTCATCTTTTATTTTTTATTTTTTTTGGTACAAAATGCCTCATCTCTTGCAGCTACATCAACATTTCCTGTTACCCAATTTGTGAGTTGAGAATTCTGACGACATCCTCATCTAAATCTATTGTGGTAGTCGTGGTTCCTGGACACTGGATTTGGGGCCTTATAAGTTCTAACTCAAATTGGTTGTGTGAATCTAACCACATCGAGTGCAAATTAATATAATTTGGGTGCAATCGAGATTTTTGTACAAATTTTGTTGTCTAAACTACAAATTCAAGTTTTAGATCAAATTTATGCTAATTTACATCAAATGTGAGAATTTCAAAAACAATTTGAATTGAATAAAACTCAACTTTTGAGGTCTCGAATCCTTGAATACTTCCCTTTTGTAGTGCTTATCAACTAATTTATTGATTGTTTGAAAAACCAACTCCTCCAATATCTTTGTGCTTTTTTTTTTGGGGCAAATTTCACGTTACCCCCCTGTGATTTAGCATTGTTTTACATAACCCCCCCTATGGTTTCAAAATCTATATATAACCCCCTTATAGTTTAGATTAAAGTGTCAAAGTGACGGGAATGATCATTTGTAACGGAGCCATCTAAAATATCAAAAATACCCTTATGTAAAGTTGAAAATTATTTATTAACCAAGGGGGGTTATGTGTATATTTTGAAAATCATAAGGGGGTTATATGATAAAGTATTAAACCATAAGGGGGTTATATGGTAAAATATACAAATCATACGGGATTAGTGTGTCATGTGTTTATAAGGGTAATTTCGACATTTTTAGAAGTTTCGTTACAAATAACTATTTCCGTCACTTTGACACTTTAATCCAAACCATGAAGGGGTTATGTATAGCTTTTGAAACCATAGGGAGGTTATGTGAAAAATGCTAAACCACAGGGGGTAAAATGTAATTTGTCCTTTTTTTTTGGTTCCTTGCAATACAAATAAAACCCCCCTACAAACGCAATTTTTTTTAATGTTCCGCTGCAAAAATACAAAAGTTCCTCCACTTTTATTTTCTTCATTATTTTGTTAATCTGGATATAATGTAAATTATGTAGCAGTTCTTCAAGCCAATCTTTTAGATGCCAAGTCGAAAGGATTAAATTTAACTGCCATTCCGATGCAAATTACAAAAAAACCACTGCAACGAATAACGGGGAAACTAGGAGCTCCTCAAGTTTTCAAACATATAGCTGGGAATTAGACCCAAAGACCGGCCAACCACACTGTTATTTTTTCACCCCTAAAATGGAGTCTATTTATATATACAAAAAGAAAACATCAGACTGTATATTTTCAAGTCCAATCCAAAGCATAATAAAAACCCAAGTTGTTGGATGAAAGTGGGAGAGAGCAGCAAGTTCTTATAGTAAGAAAAGAATCAAATTTTTTATTAAGTTACCATTGAATTATAACACAACTAGTCCTCGGCTTCGGTCAAATCCTGACGATATCGTTTATATAGACGTAGAGGGTGAGTTACGAAATAGTCAGCTTCGCTATGCTTAAATCTAGTTGTATAGAAACATTTCCTGTCCTCGTATTTTCGCAAAAAGGTGAACCATATGACATGGCCAAGCCAAGCAGCGAGGGCAAACGGCACGATCATGACAGCCAAATTTGGTAGCACTGCGTACAAGCCAGTGAGAAATGCTATCATCATTGACATCACAGCCGCAAAAATTCGTTCCCGAGTTACCCGGACAATAAACAACTTAAGCCGGTAGTTTTTTGTCTGAAAGAGCCTGATAAGTCCAAGCACTGCATCTATGGAGGTAAACATTGCCAAGGAATCTGAAATAACAAATGTAATAAAAGCTGCTTTCTTGCTTAGAACTGCCATGCCTTTTGTGCGGACCGTCACTGTAGTACCCACCTGGAATTGTAAAACCAGCTGCAAAAGTGACTGTTGCGATCAGTGTAGCCACAATCGAATAATTCGCAGCTAGTTTTTCCACTTTTTTTACTTCATCAGGATTAGATACTCGTAAGTTCTTCTTTACGGTGGCAACATTTCGGTACCCTCGAGTGCCACCCGCTTGCTCCAAAAACGAATTGAGAAACAAAATTGTAACAATGAGGTCGCTGCTGATTTTATTGGACCGCTAAAATATGAAGCGACTCTTCCAACACTACTTGCACGTGATAGATAAGGATGTTAGATAATATGCAAAACCATCATTGATTTGTCCGGTTGAAAGCATCATGTTTTCAAATTTTGTATGGACTAAAATGTTCGTGTTAAACAGTGAATCTAATAGTGGGAAGAATTTTTAAAGGTTAGACGAGGAAAGTTAAACAAAGTAAGTAGATAATATTGATCATAAATCAAAATAGAAAGTTTGCATTCAAAGCAGACATGATGTGTGTGTGTGTTGGGGGGGGGGGGGGGGAGGGGACAGTTCAAGAAGAGAATAGAGAAATTAGTTTTGAAATTTAAAACGAAAACAGCACTACTTTTCCTTGAATTAGTTTTGAAATTTAAAACGAAAACAGCACTTATTTTTCTTCTTCTTTTCTTTTTCATAAACCATACTGTGTTCTTCTTGGTTTATAAAGAGCCATGCAGCAACTGCATTTATACATTGGTGAGTTCGTGTTCAATTGTTGTATTTTCTATAGGATTTAATGTAGTATATTTTTTAAAAATGTCTAGTGTATTTATGAATGGAATTAACACTTTTTAAAGAAAAACTAAAATTAAGACTTAACAATAATATGATGTAAGTGTGCATCACAATATTTTCTACATAAATTGAAAGAATTCTAGGAGCATCACAGACACACGGCCTAAGAAATTAAAAATGAGTGTCTGAAAAATGGGGGTAAAGATCCCTCAAATTTAAGTATAAGCAAATATAGTAACGATGGACTTGAGAGAATTAGTGGCTAAGAATATTCATAACTCACAAAATCAAGTTTCTTATTTTTCCAAAAGTAAAATCTTGTAAGTCAAGTATCCATACATGAAAATTTGACAGAACTTTTTAATAGTCAATGTGACCATGCAAAGGAGCGGAAAAAAAAATTCATCTTATACCTGTCTTTGTGAAAGTTCATCTGCCCGTAATATTCTGTCTAAAGGCGTGGAGTTCGAATAGTCAAAAGAATTGACATCGACAGAATGGTGTTTGACAAGGCTACTCCCATCTAAGTTTTTGGTAGCAACATAGAGGTGGAGAGGGGTATTTCCTGTATTATCCCTTTGATTGATGAGTTCAGAAGCCCAAGAATTTTTCAGGACGAATTCAAGCACTTCTCTTTGTTCATATTTTACTGCAAGGTGAAGGATATTCTGACGTCTATTAGTATATATCTCCCAACAATCTGGGCAATGGGATAACAGCTCTTGCACCACAGCAACATGTCCATGAATGACCGCTATATGTAGAGCAGTCTTGGAGTCGTCATTGCGGGCAGCAACATAAGCCGTAGACCTCTCAGCAGATAATAATAGCCTTACCACATCTTCATGATTGAGTTTAGCAGGATGATTGAGTTTAGCAGCATAGTGAAGTGCAGTCCATCCAAATTTATCCACCTTTTTGATAAGATTAGGCAGCTTTTCCAAAATCAGCTCCACGAGTTCTGCAATCAGCAGATATTTAGTTAAAGATACTGTAGTTCATTAAACCATAAGAATCAATTACAACAACTGAGATATACTCGAGTGAAACTTCAAATTGTCATTTTAGGATTAGTTATTAATGATTAGTAGATAGGAATGGCAAGGGATAGGAAAAAACCAGATTATAAAATAGTGTGTGTATATGTGTGTGTATACATATATATTCTATCAAGTTTCAATCTTAAAAGCCATTAGCACATAACACTAACACAAATAATAACCTTCCATGAAATGTCCTACTTTGCTATTGAATTTAGAGATTTCATTACTGTTCCTATTTCTTTGGTTGCACCTGACTCTGCTTTTAGTACCAGGGAAAGTGTGGTCAGCTTATAAGGAATTAGGATTCAACCAAACACATTGAAAGCTTTAATGTGATCAGCAAACCAATTGTGGAATCCAATTGGAGGTAGAGTACATTCATACCTTCTACTTTCCTTATTTTTAGTTTTACTTATTCAAGTGTTTGATTAGATAATTATTCTTTTCTCTTCATATTTCTTATTCTCATATCTAATGCTTAAGAGGAGTCAAAAGTGAAATGATTGAAGTTTATTTCCATTGAAGATGATAGATTAAATCATAAGAAAGAATATACCATTTCATGATCGGGAGTCAAAAGAAAGAATGTACCAATTTATCTTATAAAAGGGATTCTTGTAGCATTTAGTTCCTATTTCATTTTGACCATTTGAGCATGATCTTTGGAGTGATATTTCTTTTTGCTATATTATATGTGATAGGATTGTTAACCACAAGCTCAGTGGCCATCACCAAAGCTTTAAGGCTTGGTCAGACGTTCAACGCTGCTTTCTACCATTTGCCAAAAAATATGTGATAGGATTGTTAAACTTTGAGTTTATCCCCTGTTGTTACTCTGATGGGGTGTTTTGATTTTGATGTATTAAAATTTTAAATTAACAAAATCAGTTTCTAGATTTTTCAACTATTTAGATGCATGTATTTTCATGATTGATTTGACGAGTTTAAGTAGTGCTAAATGCTACCCCATGGTTTAATCCAATCCCATGAGCAAGTAGTTTTTAGTAACAGGAATTAAGCTCGTAGAGTTACTTAATATAGTTTAGCAAGGGACTTACCTAAATGGGCAGTAGAGTTACTTAATATAGTTTAGTAGAGTTAATATAGTTCGGTAAGGGACTTATCTAAATGGGTAAGAGTTTAGTAAAAAAGAAATCAGAGGATATCGTATCCGCTACCATTAGGGATGGCAACGGGGCGGGGTTGGGGCGGGGGACCCCTCCCCCATCCCCCGCCCCGCTACCTACAAACTCCCCCCGCCCCCGCCCCGTCCCCCGCCTCCCACTCCCCCCGCCCCGCCCCGCTTCCCCCGCGGGGGCACCCGCGGGGTTAATAAAATTTTCCCCGCGGGGCTAATAAAATTTTATTATAATTAAATTTTAATAAATAATCAAGTACTAAAATATCAACACATCATCAAGTTATTATTTATTTTAATTTTACAATTGCAACTCATAAAAACAATCAAACAAAAGTTATTTGAATACGATCCAACATGATGAAATAAATACAACTAAAATAGTTAAATTTTAACTTTTGGTACAAATACAATCACTAATTCATTATTGTGTTTGTGCTTTTTTTTTTAGAAAAAAGTGTTATTCTATTAAGTGTAATTAGAAATTTAGTATAAATGTATTAGTAAATTTAGTATAACTAATTAATAAATTCTATTAGTAGACATGTCTAATTATTCGTATAATTGATAATATCAATTATATTACATACACTAATATACATTATATAATACATCTAACTAATAATATCATTATCATAAGTTTATAACTAATTAAATTACATATTATATATAATTATATATATAATTTTTTTTGCGGGTGGCGGGGCGGGGGTATACTCCCCCGCCCCCCGCCCCGTTTCTAAACGGGGGGAAAAAAGTCCCCCCCGCCCCCGCCCCACCCCCCGCCCCAACCCCCGCCCCGAGAGCCCCCCGCGGGGCGGTTGCCCGCGGGCACCCGCCCCCATTGCCATCCCTAGCTACTATTCCTTCCAATAGATAAATCATATACTAAGTCATTATGCCATTTTAGTATGTTCACTAAATTTGATCGTTTGAGATTATCGAAAGACCAAATTTACTATTGCATTGAAGTAGTTGGAATTTTTAATTCAAAAGAGCATGTGCCAATAATTTACAAAACCGAGCACATTTTTTTTTCCTGCAAGGCTACAACTTTTAATTTTTTTTCCTCACAAACTGCTCCAAAATCCATTTGTCTCTGTTATTCTTCTCTTAACTTCAGCAACTCATATTTACTTTTTAGTCTAAATCTCAATTTTCAATAAATTCACCTTAAAAAAAAGCTCAGGTCTTTTTTTTTTAAAAAAAAAAAGAGCTCATGTCTTAAACTCTAGTAAATTAACATTTTTCCTCGTAAATATCAGAGTTCTGGCCCCAAGATTTTTACGGAAATCTAAAAAGTACACCATCAAGCATACATCTTTCCTCAATACTCAATTTCTGGTTCCATGATGGTGGATGTGGTAGAATAGCATCCATATGTAAAATTGAAGACATTTGCAAATCTCGGCGGGAAATTTCCTAGTTGTCTCAATTTTTGAATGTTTTTGGATGTGAATAACTTTTTTCAATTTCAAATGCACTTCGAAGGCATGTAAGTCATTTGTTCCTTGTTGTTTTCCTTGTTATTTTTTCCTTGTAAGTCATTCTCAAATGGACTTGGGAAAAGTACCTTTTGTTAATGTTGAATGTGTTGCTTTCTTTTAATTGGTCTAAAAAAAGAAAAGCTAAAGTTGGATGTTAATCTTTCAAGTAAAATATGCTTTATCCCCCTGTGATTTAGCACTTTTTCATATAATACCCTATAGTTTCAAAAGCTATACGTAACTCTTTCATGAGTTGGACTAAAATGTTAAAGTAACGGAATTTGAATTCTATAATAGAGTTAACTAAAATGTCAAGAGCACCCCTATGTAATATTGAAAATTATTTATTAACAACAGAGAAATTATGTATATATTTTAAAAATCATAAGGAGGTTACGTAGTAAAATAATAAATCATAAAAGAGTATATGGTAAAATGTGGGATCATAAGAGGTTAAAGTGTTATGCATATTATGTTTATATATTTTGATTATTTTAACCATTTTACTTTTTAAATAAGAGTAATCTCGACGTATCTGTAGGTTCAATTACAAAGGATCATTTTCCGTCATTTTGGTACATTGATCCAAATCATGATTGAGTTATCTATTGTTTTTGAAACTAAAGAGAGTTATGTGAAAAATAGTTGGCAACGGGTACAAACTCCCCCCGCCCCCCCCATCCCCCGTCCCCCACTCCCCCCGCCCCGTCCCCACCCCGCCCCGCTGATAGGGTATAATTTGTTAGTAAATTTATTATTGATTTCCCCTTCTATCCCTGACAAATATTGTGTTAATTGCTGATATTTACTCATATTTGGTATTTGGAATCAATTTCAGGAGTGAAGCAGAAAATTACCAAAAAGGAGGGACTTGTATGGAAAAATGCAGACTTCTAAGGGCTTCAACCTTTGGGTCCTTGAATTGGTGGGGACCACAAGCTAGTGCAAGGCATTTAGTCATTTGGGCTTTTCAAAGAAAGTAACGTAGAGAGACTTGGAACAACAAGTACTTTGGAGGCTTTGTCCACATGTGCGGGGACCACGGATAAGAAGCATGAGTCATTTGGACTCTAGGAAAAGAAACGTACAACACTTTGAATTTGGTGTGGGGACCACTAGAGATAGCATTAGACTTCCTTTTGGCTTTAAAAAGGGAGAAACGTACGAGAGGTTTATGAATCAATAGTTTTAGTTTAGGATTTTAGCATAGTTTTAGATTTCTTTTCTTAGCTCTTTCGCATGGTTGTTCTCCATTAATGGAGGACTAACCTCTTAATTCTAGTCAAGGGGACAACTGAAGACTTGGTTCAACAATTACTGTGAGATCGAATTTATTTTAATTGTTTCCTCCATTTATTGGTATTCATATGTTTCCTACTTTTAACTGTTATAGCTCGTGTGAGTGATTGAATAGATGCGCAATATTTAATTATTCACATAGGCTATTTTGCTAAATAGGGATAATTGAATTCGTAATTGTTCGTTATCTTTATCTCAGTAGCAACTGGCGTAATTGGGTTTGTGTCAGGGGAACATACGATCTAACTTAAACAAACCCTCGTAGCGTGTTTGTTAGTTAGGATTGGGTCTTTCTAATTCTTAATGCAATCTAGAAATTAAATCCTACGGTCGTACCTAGGGTTGTTTTTGTGTTAGAGAAATAGTTAACGGTCGTACCTTAACTATCGAGAAAGTAAGGAAAGGTTGGTTGTTTATCGCGTGCATGGCAACTATAACTAATCTATTAATAACTGTGAAATTATCTGTGAATCAATGATCAGTGCCTGAACCATTTTTGAAGTGTACCCTTGGCTAGAGTTTCTCCAATTATTTCTTTTAATTAATTATTTTCTGCAGTTAATTTATTTAGTTAGCATTCAATCCAAAACCCCCCATACTTTGGATTCTAAAAGAAACGAATTATCCCCAGTCCCTGTGGATTCGACCCTACTCACCGCTATATACAAAATCTGTATTTTTCTTGAGTAGGTAATTATTATTGCACAGGTTCGGCACCTGTCAATTTTTGGCGCCGCTGCCGGGGACTGGTGCCAGATTAATTTGTTTCTTTTTGAGTTCATCTTGTTTTTATTTTTATTTATTTATTTTTCTCTTATTTTTTTTTATATAGTTTATGGCTTCTAACACTCCGTATTTTGGTGATATACTGGATTTTGTTTTCGGGGAAGGCAATGAGACTGATTGTTTTTCTAAGTTTGCATATTTAGAGGCAATAAACTCTATTAAAAAAAGAATGGCTGCTGCAACCTGTGAAATTTGTTATGCCAGGGAT